TCTATATTAAATTTCCTCCGCATTTTGATAGCAAATTGATCAACAACTCTCTCATTTATTCACGGATCATCAATTAAATTTTTTTTATCGAATTTCGTGTAACAAATAAAATTTGGAGTTGTAGATCAATTCAAACCTATTTTTGCAAATTAATTTAAAAAATTCTTTGTTGCCCAATCACTCATTTTTTTATTAAGTAAACATGACCTGATTTTTTCACCAGTTAATATAAATACATATTATGCAAAAAACTCAATTTTGGTCAGGGGGCACTTAAGCTACCTTTTGCCAGAAAACCCCCAATTGTAAAAATTAAATCATCCCCACAATGACAGGAAAGGTTTTTGAAGGCTTGTGAATTAGCCAATTTAAAATATAAAGAATTGATTTTAGATGTAGTCACACATTGGAATTCTACATATGAAATGATTATGTGTGCTATTGAATATAAAGAGATAAGTATTTAAATGCAATTTATATGATTAATTTTTAACTTATAAACAAGCAATGATATAATAAACATGTTTTCTATTGTTTATAAGCTGTAGAAAGTGTGGGAAGAGCAGGATAGAGACATGATTAAATGGGTGTTAAATGAAGAAGAGTGGTCAAAACTTGTTGAAATTTCTCAATTATTACATGTAAGTTAATTATTATTTTTTTTTTGATGCAATAAATACTATTGCATCAATTTTTTTTATATTAACTTATTATATGTTTTGCTATTTAGCTTTTTTCACATGCAACTAAACATATTTCTACAAATCATTATCCAACACTTACTTCAACAGTTCCTATATTTAATTGGCTAATTGATAATCTTGAAGATTATGAACACAATTTAAATGGTACAAGTGATATATATTAAAGGAAAAGTTAAAGTGATTGAAAACTTAAGTTTTATTATATACTATTGCTACAAGTAGGCATAATGGTTTTAGTTCAATATAATTTATACTAAATTGATATTTTTATTAGTCCTTGACCCAAGACTCAAGTTAGATTATTATAGAGATAACAATTGGGAAGCCAATTTATAAACAATGCACATCAAGTTATCAAAGATATATACCAATCTGGATATGCACCAAATTTGGCTGTATTTAGCAATCCTGAAAATAATGATATTGAAGAAGATGATCTTACTGCTCATATTTACAAACATCAACAAATTGTCAGAGATGATGATGAATTGGATGCATATCCTTAAATCACCAAATGCACCACCAAAAACTGATGTATTGACTTGGTGGAGGAAAGTAAGTAAATTTTTATTTAAATTATTGTATATAAATATAGATAATTAAATTCACATGTTTTGTTATTTGTTATTCTGCAGAATCATGAGTCAGAGTATCCACATTTGGCATTGATGGCAAGAGATTATCTTGCCATCCCAGCAACAAGCGTGCCAGTTGAGAAAATTTTTTCAGGAGGAACTGATCTAGTGACAGCAACCAGGTGTAGTTTATCTGCAAGCACAATTAGAGCTTGTATGTGTCTTAGATATTGGTGAAAGGAGTTATTAAAGAATCAATTATGAATATATGTAAAAAAATTTTTTGAATAAATAAAATTTTATATTAATTATCTACAGATCTGATCTGGTCTAGTTTTGATCTGATATGATATGATCTGGTTCAAAACAGATTGCATTTTAATAGGATCTGATCTGATCTGATCTGGTTTAAATAGATTGCAAATTTAACAGGATCTGATCTGTTTGGAGCCTTAGTTATAATAAATAATATGAATAAATGATAAAGTAACATTTTATGTGTTATGTGTAATACATATTATGATAATAATTTGGAATTGCATAGTTTGTAATTTTACTTGTTTATTAATGAATTAATAAATAAAAAAAACAAATGGTTTGGTGACTTGAACAAACCACTTGAAGAAACATTTAATAAAAAAAAATTAATTCATTTGTCACTCAGCAACTAAGAAATGACTGAAATAATTATAATTCTTCAGGCTTTAAATACATTTCCTTAAACAGGACTTCACATGGTGAGAAAGTACAGACATTGTCATCATCTGATCCTCCATGTAAGTTGTTTGCCCAAATTGTTTTCTCAAAGCCCAAACTAGTTTGGGCAATTTGGGCTTCTCAGCAATTTTGGCTACTAATTGAGAGAGTTTCAGCTGGAAACCTTAGTTGTTCCAGCATCTTTTGCACAAATTTTGGTATGATTTTTTAGTATTTGGACACTCTGAATACTTATAACCACCATAATAATAACATACATAACAAGGTTCCTTGTATTTTAGGAGCTACCCAATTTGTTTTTCTTGATAACTGCAGTATATAAAATATTTGATGGTTTTGGTGACAATGAATTTTTTTTTCCTAATGCTAGAGCATTACTTCTTGTGATTTCTAAAACTTCCTTGTGTAATATCATTAGTTCTTTGAATGACACTGAACTAACTTCCTCATAATCAGAGTTGTCACATATAATGAAAGTAGAACAATGAATTGTTTGTTTGTTGTTGTCCATTGTTGTTGTCCATTGTTGTTGATGATAAGATTATGATTATGATGATGATGACAATGATGATAGTTGATGATACATACATACATACATATATATTGGGGTGGCTGAAAAGTAATGAGAAAATGGCTTTAGTTTGAAAACCTTATTACAACTTTTAAAAATTTTATTTCATTCCTTCTGTCTTTATCTATGCAAAGTTGTAGCCTTCTTCACCAATCCTCAAAAGTTTTGTGGTACACCTCTTTTTCAATACCAAAAGTAATTGCCTGAACAGCACATGCAAGATTTTCAACATTTTTGAACTTCTTATTTTTGAGTTCCTTTTTGATTTTAGGAAATAGAAAAAAATCACAAGGTGCCAGATCAGGAAGAATATTGACTTTTTCTTGTTCCAAGTAACTGATGACAATTTTCAAGGTATGTGGTGCAACATTGTCATGATGAAGCAAGACATTTCAAACAGTTTTCCTCATAAAATTTGAAAAAACTTCTGGCAGAATATTATTGGCATAAAGGTTTCCAGTTATGGTACTCCCCTGTGGCACTACAATTCTTGCCACAATTCCCTCAGCAGAAAAGAAAATGCAAAACATACATTTTTTGCTGTTTTGGGCAATTCTTGCAATTTGAAGTTTGTTTTCCCCATGTTTAAGCCAAACCTTATTAGCTTTCTTTACTTGGAACAGTATAGAAGTGAATCCATGTCTCATCACCAGTAATAATATTTCTAAAGCCACTTTCCAAAATCTGCAGAAGTTGTAAGTTGTTTGAAATCTCAACTTGTATTTTACTGTTTTCATCTGTCAGCACATGTGGAATCCATTTTTTGCAGTTTTTTCTCTTCATGAATGATGTTTTCAATTCTTTCTCTGGAGATTCCAACTTCTACTACTAGTTTTGTGTAGTTATATAAGGATTTTATTAATAAAAATCCTCCACCCTTCCAAAGCATAGTGGACATTTGATTTCATTGGCTAAATTTTGTGATGATCTCCCTTCCAGATATCATGCAAAAATTAAATTTTATTGGCTTGAAGATTGTTATGCAAATTTGAAAAACAAAAATTAATATCAGAGGGAAGGAAATAGCATAGTGGAATTTGTTTTTGATCGACATTTGAAATTATCACATTACACAACCTACACAATCTTTATTACAAATTGTCATTATTTAGAATCTGGACTTTGCTCTTAGATGGAAAGGAAAAAATTATAATAAGATTATACTGGCATTTATTTCAGATTACATATACTGGGAAGAAAATCAAAATCCTTTTGCAAATGTATTGGAGAATCATCTTGTTAATTTCAATGAATATTATGTTGAAAATTTTCACAGCAGGTTACATGCTAATATTAATGTAAATCAAAATGCAGAATCAATTATTAATCAGGCATTTGTAATTGATAAGTTCAAAAATATATATATATATACACACTACCCAGACAAAAGTTTGTGAATGATGTTTTTTGTTAATTACACAAAATGCTACATAATAACAACACATAAAATTTTAACATTATATGGCCTATGTTCTTGTTGTTTTTGTATAAAATTTGATGTATTTTGTATTTCTAGTACTTTATTACAGTCAGGGAGATTTCCAAATTTGGAAATCAATTCTAGAAATTTTTGTTGATCAATTCATATATGCTATATACAAATGAGTTTAGAAAACACTCCCCTGTTATGTTATGTCATGTTTTTTTATATAAAACTTTAAAAAATAACTGTTAAATAACATTCTTTTGGATATATAGTTTCATAATCCCAAAGCTTTACAAAGTAGTTTTTTCAGAAATAAAACTTGAAATTGTGATTATTTTTTTTTTTCATAGAATCATATGTATATAAATATAATGACAAATACAACACTCAAATCAAAAGATTCACCATGCTTATTTGAAAATCTTGTTGAGAGATATCAAAATACTCTTTTAGTTCAGTGTGAAACTAAGGAGAATCAGAAACAGCATTTTGCATCAGGAGAAAAATCAACTGAAAGAGCAAAACTTTTGGCTAAGTATTATTTTCATTAATTATTTAGAAAATTATTCTATTTGAAAAACATAATAATCAACTTGTTGCTAATAATTATTTTATTGAGCATTTAAAAAAGATAGATAATTCAAGGTCATCATATATCATAGATATCATAGAAGAAAACGAATAAGAAAATTCATTCAAATTTATTTTACTTTCTCAATATTATATATATATTCATTCATTAATTCCATTTATTATGAACATAATTTATTATATATATCCATTAATTATAGATGTAGGAAAATTCAAATTTATTTTACTTTCTCAATATTTTATATTCATCCATTAATTCCATTTATTATGAACATAAGAAAATTCAAATTTATTTTACTTTCTCAATATTTTATTTATGTCTTTGCATCCTGTGTTTATCATTGGTATTAGAGGCTTGGGAATTTGAACCTGCTCACAATTGTGACAATTACTAATTTTCCATTTTTTCTTCCAGGTAATGTATAAAAAAAAAATAATTAAAAAGTAATTTTTTTTTTTTAACTTATGTATATTATATATTAATAATACCATTATAAATAATCATAAATATATTAATTAATATATGATAAATAAATTTAATTTAATCATTATGTTCCTAAATATATATAAAATATGTTAATTAATAATAATGTTTTTATATAATTTATTATTTAATAGATTTTTCAAAATTCAAAAAAAAAATTTTTACTTATTACCATATATTTTTGTATTTCACTAAGTACTTGATCGAATTGAATGATCTTAGATTCAAAAGAAAGCCTGGATCTATTGTGCATTATACTCAAAATTCATTTATAGTTAAGGATACGGTCTAGCACGTGATCATTTATTAGTAAATCTAATTCCAAAATTTTTGTCATACCGGTAACCAAATA